AGGACGAGACGCGTGGGAGCGGAGCAACATAGGGTGAGTGCGCGGGACGGGGGAGACAGGACGAGCACGGGAGGGGCGGCGAGACCAGACGTGAGAGGGCGGCGTCGGGTCAGGAGACAGAGGAGGGGACACGGGTGGGGAACGAGGGGGAAAACGAGCCGGGGACGAGTCCGGCGGAGGGAACACGGGGCCGTAGACGGGAAGAGGGGGAGACGGCCGGAGAGGAACAGGCGCAGGGTCAGGGGACGGAAGGCCGAGCAGACGGAGGGCGGACACCGGCGGGGACTGCTGCTGCGGCGACACAACACCAACGCCAGGGCCACAAGCTGCGCGACGGCTACCTCCCGAACCCTCCACACCGGCACCCCCAAAAGGGACACCCCCAGAGCCCGAAACACCGCCAGCACCGGTACCACCCCCAGGCTCGCCGGGACAAGCCACGACAGGAGCCCCGGGACTAGTACCCACCTCAACTCCAGCACCCCCAGAGTCCACAAACAGCGGCAGCGACGACGGCGGCGGCGGCGGAGACGACGGCTGCAGCAGCTGCGGCGACGGCAGCTGCGGAGGCGGTGGAGGAGGAGACACCGGGAGAGGGACAGACGGCGAGGACTGCGCCAAAGGACTGCCAGAGTCAGAAGACTCGTCGACCGGAACGACCGACGGGAGGGGGGTGACGTGAGACACACCAGAGGGGCCCGGACGGGGGGGCGGGGGGGGGGGAGGGGCAGGGGCCACCAGGGAGGGAGGAACCAGGAACAGGGGGGGAGTAACCGGGGGACCACGGTGGGGAAAGCGGCGGTAGAAGGAGACGGACTCGTCAAAGGTGACGTCGCGAGAGTGAAAGAAACGGTGAGACGGCGGGTGGTAGAAGTGCCAGTCGGACGCGTCAAGGGGGAAACCGAGGAAGACGCAGGGGAGGGTGCGGGCAGTGAGCTTGTCCGTGCCAGAGGCACGAACGTGAGCAAGGCAGCCCCAGACGTGGAACGCAGACGCGTCACCAGGGGACCCGGTCCACAGAAGGGTCGGCGAAACCTGCGGCCGCTGGGGGTGCGGCCACAGGTTAAGCTGGTGAGCGGCGTAGCGCACGGCGAACGGCCACAGAAAATGGGGTGCACCGGCGTGGATCATGGAGGTGCGAGCCACCTCCATGACCAAACCGATGCGTCGCTCAGCGACCCCATTCTGCTGCGGGGAGTCCGGCAGGGTAAACGTCTGGGTGATGCCCTCCGCACGACAGAAGCGACCAAGGACACCTGAGGCGAACTCGCCACCCCGGTCGGAGTGGAGGCGCAAGGCAGGGAGACCGCGGTGGAGACGAGCAGAGACAAGCCAGGGGATGAGAACGTCAGGCACGTCGGCCTTCCGCTCCAGGGGAAAGACGGTGGTGTAACGTGTGAAGTCGTCGACAAGCACTAGGAAGAAGCGCTCGCGACGCGGCCCATGGACCGGGGCTGGGCCCCAGACGTCCATGTGCAGAGTCTGCAGGGGTGCGGTGGTAGGGGGAAAAGAGGAGGAGTGAGGGGCACGGCGGAGCCGGCCCTCGACACAAGGCGTGCACGGTGGGGCGGGGGATGAGGGAAACTCAGGGAACGAACCGGGGAGACCAAGGACGAGACCGTGCTGGGACATGTGACGCAGACGCGGGAGTGCAGGGTGACCAAGGCGGTGGTGCCAAAGGAGAGTCGGATGAGTGAGGGACCGACAGGAGCACGCAGCAGCAACCTGGGTGGACGCAGCTACCTGGGGGGAAGACCCAGCCGGGGACGTCGCGGTGTCAAGTGTGAACAGGCCGGACACCGGGTCCCGGGGGAAAGTGGTAAGGGGGGCACCAGTGGCGGCCTCGGTACAGACAGCATACCGCTCGTGACCAGGGAACGTAGTGGTGACGCCAAGGTCCTGGAGGCAGCCGACACCAACTAGGTTCCTGGAGAACGAGGGGATATGCAGACCGGTGAGCGAACCTGAAGGAACCGCCGGACAGGGAAGGGAGGTGGAACTGCGGGCAACGACGGGACCACCGGAGGGGTCAACAAGAGTAACTGCAGCGGGAACAGGCAGCGGCGTCAGCGTCGTGGAGTCGCGGAAGAAACACCGGGAGGCGCCAGAGTCCAAGGTGAAGGAAAGCGCAGCAGTCGCGCGGGGCGACAGTGAAGCGGTGGAAGCACCGAGGCTAAGCAAAGCAGGAGATCCTACGCCTGACGCAGCAGGGGAGTCTACGCTAGGCACAGCTACACTAGGCAACACGGGGTAATAAGAGGGAAGCACACTAGAGTCATCGGCATACATCACATGCAAGGCTGCTACAATGGCATCCATGTCCAAGTCAAAAATCCGAATGCTACGCCTAAGCAAGCTGTGCCAGTCCGGGAGGTCGGGCGCCGGGCCAAAGCGCTGGCGGAACAGGTCGTCCAGACGACGAAAACAGCGAGGAGTGGAATGACCGATCTTACCGCAAACGAAGCCGCGGCGAGGACCGGTCTGGATCTGGTACTGACAGGGCCCGCCTCCAGAACCACCACCCGGTGCACCATCACGCGCACGACCACCACCAGCTCCAGGCCACCCAGGCGGGAGAGCACTCGCCGGCCTCGTCTGCGGCGGCTGCTGCGGCTGCTGCGGAGGCTGCTGCTGCTGCGGCTGCTGCAACGGTGGAGGCAGCGGGGCAGCTGGACCGGGCAGGGTCCCCACGTCCGCACCGGCACCGGACGACCCGCCTCCACCACTACCCCCACCCGCACCCCCGCCACCTCCGCCGCTCCCAACCTTGGGGCGGCGGCCCTTCCCCGAGCGGGACTGCACTGCAGCAGCAGTCTCAGCCACAGCGACAGAGCCGTCGGAGAAGGTACACTGAGCGGGGGCACAACCCTGAAAGATAGGGACCGGTACTGTACCGCTCGCCTGGGCTATGGAGCGGTGACGAGTCTCTATGGCAGTCAGGGTGTCAACAAAGTCGGTGAGGGTGAGAGCAGCAGGGTGGATGCTAAGGAACTGGTCGCGGGCGGCGGCAAGGCGGTCAGGGAGGCGGGTGGCAAGGAGGTAGAGGGTAGAGGTCATGGGAGGCTGGTGGACTCTAAGCTGTGCATCAGTGCAGGCAGCGCGCCAGGCCTCATCTATCGAGCGCAGGTGGGCAGCGAGGTCAGAGACAGTGGGGAAGGACGCCAGGTCAGGAAAGAGCAGGGGGAGGATCAGGCGACCCACTGAGGCAGCAGGAGGGGTAGAATAGCGCTTGATGACAGCATCGAGGTAGGCCTGGGCGGTAGTAATGGTTCTAAAGCGACGGCGCTCAAGGGGGGGAGGGCATTGCTAATGGCGAGCTGAGCAAGGGCATCGCGGGAAAGCCAGACAGAGCGGGCAAGGGCAGCGGCGGCAGTGGACTCGCGCTCAGCGGGCGTGGGATCAGCGGGCAGCACAGCAGGGGGGTCAGGGCAGGGGAGCATACCGTCTAGGTGTGCAGAAAGCGGGTGGCCGTCCTGCCGCTGACCAGTGAGGTGGCGGCGAAGGTCAGCCAACCACGCCTCGAACTCCAGAGGCTGACCCTCAGCATCAAAACGAAGCTCAGCAGCCATGAGGGGCAGTGGAGGACAGTGGAGTGCGGTGTAGTGCTGTGCAGTGCGGTGCAGGGCGGTGCAGTGCGGTCCAGTGCGGTGCAGTGCGATGCAGTGCGGTGCAGTGCGGTCCACTGCGGTGCAGTGCGGTCAGTGCGGTTCAGTGGGGTGCAATGCGGTGCAAGGCGGGGCAGGAAAGTGCAGGAGGGTGCAAAGTGGTGCGGGGAACGGGGGACAGTACCAGGAAGTATGGAGGGCCGGGGCAGGCGCGACGGGACAGGGCAGGCGCGACGGGGCCGGGCAGGCGCGACGGGGCCGGGCAGGCACGTCGAGGCCGGGCAGGCGCGACGGGGCCGGGCAGGCGCGACGAGGGGCCGGGCGGCTGCGACGGGGCCGGGCGGCAGCGACGAGGCCGGGCGGCTGCGACGGGGCCGGGCGGCTGCGACGGGGCCGGGCGGCTGCGACGGGGCCGGGCGGCAGCTACGAGGCCGGGTGGCAGCGACAAGGCCGGGCGGCAGCGACGGGGCCGGGCAGGACACAGCAGGGCCGGGCGGGGGCGACGGGGCCGGGCGGGCGCGACGGGGCCGGGCAGGTGCGACAGGGGCCGGGCAGCTGCGACAGGGGCAGGGCGGGCGCCACGGGGCCGAGAGGCCGCGACAGGGCCGAGCTGGGGCGACGGGGCCGAGCAGGGGCGACGGGGCCGAGCAGGGGCGACGGGGCCCAGGAGGGTGGATACGGGGCCCAGGGAGGAGCGCGGCAGGGCCCAGGAGGGGCGCAACAGGCCCAGGAGGGGCGCTACGGGCCCAGGAGGGGCGCAATGGGGGGCCCAGGAGGGGCGCGGCGGGGCCCAGGAGGGGCGCAATGGGGGGCCCAGGAGGGGCGCGACGAGGCCCAGGAAGGGGCGCGACGGGCCTAGGGACGGTAGCGACGGGGCCCAGGAGGGTGGATACGGGGCCCAGGGAGGGGCGCAATGGGGGCCCAGGAGGGGCGCTACGGGCCCAGGAGGGGCACTACGGGCCTAGGAGGGGCGCGACGGGGCCTGGGAGGGGCACGACGGAGCCCAGGAGGGGCGCTACAGGGCCCAGGGAGGGCGCGACGGGTCCCAGTAGGGGCGCTACGGAGCCCAGGAGGGGCGCGACGGGGCCCAGGAGGGGCGCTACGGGGCCCAGGAGGGGCGCGACGGGGCGCTACGGGGCCTGGGAGGAGCGCGACAGGGCCCAGGAGGGGCGCTAGGGGGCCTGGGAGGAGCGCGACGGGGCCTGGGAGGAGCGCGACGGGGCCTGGGAGGAGCGCGACGGGGCCCAGGAGGGGCGCTAGGGGGCATGAGCGGAAGCGGGAGGTGGGGGGGATCCTACCTACGCGTGATACCATATCAGAATTAGAATTGAATAAAGTGAGAGAGAGAGTACACAAACATATACCTAAATGTTGTACTCTCTAGAAGGTGACCCTATACAGTCTATACAAACATGATAACTACACATGTTTGACACCATGGTCCCTTTTCGGGGGGTATTCATGCCGAGAGATTACGGGCATTCTTCAGGAACATACCACATGCCAGATTTTCAACCAGGTATTCTTTAGGAACACATGCCAGATTTTCAACCAACCGAATTAGAAAATGACAAACAAACAAGCCATCCTGCCTGCCTCCATCCAAAGCTATCCCCATGATGACCATCTTGTGCCCGACTGTAACAACGTCCGCGAATAAGTCCCGCCCGCCCCTCTCCCTTGCCCACCACCCCTATCCCCCTCACCTCCCCCATCCCCCCTCCCAGCCCCAGGGTGAAACCCGCCCCCAAACCCAGAAGGCGGGGGCCGAATCATGTCCATAGACTTCGGCGCCAGGCCCTGCGACCGCTGCCTGTCCTCCTGCTCCATCGTCCTCAGCTTGCTCTGAATCGCCGCCACCCGCGCCCGCCTCGCACTGTCTGCAGCTGTTGCTGTTGCTGCCGCTGTTACTGCACCCCCCCCTCGCCCCACACCAGCACCAGCAGTAGCACCAGCAGCACCACTAGCAGCAGCACCAGCAGCAGGGCCTGTGGCGGTGGTGGTGCCGGTGTCTCGGTTCCACACGGGCGCATCTGTGTTGTAGGTGACCACCTTCTCATCCACGAATCGCACCACCAGCGGCCGCCCAAACGCCATCCGACCGTTCATCTTGGACCGAGCCAGCTCCGCCTCCTGATTAGGGCGTGGAGGTGGGGGGGAATGGTGGCAGAGGAGGGAAAGAGGTGGTGTGTTGAAGGGGGAAGATGGTGAGCGACAGTGAGAGGAGGCGGGCACACAGGGCAGGGGATGGAGGGACGACAAGAATCACATGGCGTGCCACATGCATGCCAAGAACTACAACCAACCTCAACCCCATACCTCCCCAACTCATCATGTAAATATGGCTTGTCACTCTCATCTCTTGATCAGCAAAAGCAACCCGCCTTGAACCCCCCTGTTGTTAACCTCTCTGTTGTGACCATGTCTGTCACATCCTCCTCTCGAATTCTGCTAATGACATAGCTACATGCCAGCTGTGGCAATCAAATCAACCAACCCGCCACTTATTGCACGCAGAACCAACCTCTCGCTTGCTGTACTCCACGAACGCATAGCCGCGGGGCTCGCCCCTCTTAGGCCCGTACGTGTGCCACAGAAACTCCTCCCTGCGGATCTTGCCGTACGGCGTGAACATCTTGATCACGTGGTACCTGCGGGACGCGCAGCATGCAGCACATGGCAGCGCACAAGCAAACATGAGCCAACGATCACACACGCTCACGGGCGACGCATGCAGGAAAAATATACTCAAGCCGGCAACGAGACGCGGAGAAGGAAGAAGCGACGCACATCATCATGCAAGCCCCGTCCCAATGACACGTCTGCATGCTTGATCTCTACCCGTTATACCCCAACACTCACAGCAACGAACACAGCACGAAAAGCACCAACCCCACCCCTCAGTGCAACAACCCCGCCACTCACTCGGTCATGCGGTGGTCCAGGTTGCCCACATACAGCTTGTTCTCTGTGCGCTCGTCTGGCGGCGGGCCCGACCTGCCAGATGACTCCTGAAGCCATGTACCGTGTTGAAGAGGAGAGGGGGAGGGAGGAGAGGTGGAGAGCGGGTGGGGGAGACGGAGGGGAGGGGAGGGGGACAGGGGGTGGGGGAGACGGGGGAGAGGGGAGGGGGAGGGGGAGAGGGGGAGAAGGAGGAGAGGAAGATGCAGAAAGAATAACGGGGGGGAAGGGGAGGGGGAAGGGGTGTGTTGGCAGTACGAAGGCAAGAAGGATGACTGCTGAGCGCGGGTTGGAAACCATGCAACTGGCCGCGCATGAGGGCTGGACGAGAGGGACGAACGGCAGAGCGCCACGCGGAATATGTCGGAGGCAAACGGGATGGCAACGATTTGTGCAAAGAAACAAACATGACGCGACGCTGGCGGGCCTACGAGGCGACGCTGTTCAAACGAACGTGACAAGACGAGGGAGGCCTTGTGTCGGTGACGAAACACACAAACGAAAGGAGTGACGAGTCGCAAAGACGACGAGATTTAGATGACAATTTGACGCGTCATCCTCTACGAACCCTTCGCTTGTCGTACGGATGTGATCTCGACGAAGGTCTATCGCGACCCGCCTTCCCTCCGCCGCCGTCCATTCCGAACGAGATTCACGCCGCTTATCGCCGTGTGTCGCTGTCAGCACAGACGCCGTCTATCGCCGCCAAACTCTATCCTGAACCGCCGTTCCTCCCGTTCGTCACCTGCCAGGTCGGGCTCGCGACTACACGGCGACAAGGAGCGAACTGGTAGCGGCGAAGTAACCTTTCAGTTTACCCAATTAACGTCGTTTATCGTAGACAAAAGAAGAACCTTGAACCGTGTGACTGCCCCACGACGCGTTTACTAATCACCCTAGTAGTTGATCAACGCTAATGTTTAGACCCTAGGTTCGTGTCAAGAGAACGAGCGAGGAGAGTCGGGAGAGACGCCTAGCTATGCCTGTCGTTGCCTAATTGGTCGGGCTGGCTATCAGGTGCAACGAAACGGCGTGAAACATAACGAGCTAGGAGGATGGTGTTCGCGATGACGGCAAGTTTCGGGGGTGATGAAAACACCAAGGAGCCATGGCCATTTCTTGTTCTTGCTGGAGTTGGTGGTTGGCCTGTGGCGTGCTCAGGGGGGATCGCGAAGCTGTCGTGGCTCGCAGCAGTCGCGTACAGGGTCGCGCGAAAGTGAGGTCAGGTCAGGGGGCTCTCTTCGCTGGCCCGAACCAGCTGAAACAAGGTCCTCGGTTCACCGTTTGAACGTGACGCACCAGACAAAACGGTGGTAGTTTGTTTGAAACAAAGCTTCGGGAAAACCCAAGGGTGTCCAAATGCATACGGGTTGAAGCCACGGGGTTTGAACAGCCTCGTAACATAAATGGGTTTGTTACGTTACAATAAGATTAACGTGTTGAAATGCGGTATTTGGAGGTTCGCTGATAGTGATGCTCTGTTGTGGAGTCGATTTGGATGAATCGGCATCATCAGACGGTCTTGTGATTCTCTAGAAGCCTCCCCGGGGAGTTCCATATGTTGACCCTTGGTGTTGACCCGCACTTGGCTCCTGTTCCGTACGTGAAGGGTTACACCGCGTTGTCTCGAAACTGGTCAAATGTAGGAATGGCTTGGGCGGGTTCTAAACTCCGCCAGATTCAGAGCCTCGTTAGGGCTCTGGATCTAGTTACCTAATCCAGTTACCTAGTGACGTCATCTAGTTGCAGCTAGGTGCCTCCGTTCTGACCAATCCTTGCGAAGCCTCCGTATAGCGAACTTAGCGAATTCTCCTACCGCTAAGATGTCGGGCAGAAAAGAGGAGTTTCGGAAGGGATCACGAGCTAGTAAGCTGGAGGATGCTGACGGTCACCGACGGAAACCGTTTAGGCAGCCGACGGAGGACGATTCAGGTGACGATTATTCGTCTGATGAGGACGCGGGTCCCAAGGGAAAACGTGCCAAGGAACCTGTCACTGCGTCGCGAGGCCGTGGCGCGGAAGCTGGCGAAAAAGCGAAGGTTGCGAAAGGTTCTGCGACATCGGACAAGCTAGTGAAGGGCGCTGCTGCTGACGTGTCGCTCAAGGATCGACCGAAGGTGTACTACTCGTCAGGTGAAGATTCGGCGGACGAGGAAGACGAGGATCTCGTGAAGCGGAAGAAACGCGACGGGATGCGTGCTGCGGTGAACGGCGATGTGCGGATGAAAGACGGCAAAGGCTCGAAGGGCGAGGACGGTAAGTCGAGTGCTCCGAGAAGCAAAGAGCCCGAGAAAGTGAGCTTCAAGCGGGGAAAAGGGCCTCGGGGCGGCGACGACGGGGCGGAAAGGGAGGACGAGGATCGGAAAGGCAAACGGTCGTTCCGCCATGCTAAGAGGAGAGACGAGGAGAGCGACGAGGGCGAGGAGGTGGAGGAGGAAGAGGAAGAGGAACAGTTGGGTCGGCGGGAGCAGAAGGGGAGAGTGGTACGAAGGGAGGAGGATGGGCGGAGGAAGGGAGGGGAGCGAGAGGTGCGCGAAGTGGGGCGGGAGAAGGAGAGGGGTAAGGCGAGGGAGAGGGGCGAGCGGGAGAGAGCGGATGAGAGAGAAAAGGAAGAGAGAGCGAGGGAGAAGGTGCGGAAGGAAAGGGAGAGGGAGAGAGAGAGAGAGGAGAGGGAGAGGGAGAGGGAAAGGGAGAGGGAAAGAGAGAGGGAGAGGGTGAGAGAAATGGAAAGGGAGAGGGAGAGGGAACGGGAAAGGGAGAAGGAGAGGGAAAGAGAGAGGGAGAGGGAGCGGGAAAGGGAGAGAGAAAGGGAGAGGGAGAGAGAGAGGAAGGAAAGGGAGAAAGAAAGAGAAAGGAGAGAAAGGGAGAGGGAAAGGGAGAGGGAAAGGGGTCGTGAATCACGGCGGCGAAGAAGAGATGATGAGGAGGAGGAAGAGGAAGAGGAGGCGAGGACGGGGCAGGGGGACGACGCGAGACGCAAGCGAGCGAAGGACGAGCACTCGGGCAGGGGCGAAAGAGGCAAAGGGGTCAAAGCTGATGAGAAAAGGGTTACAGCGGAGGAGAAAGGGAAGGCAAGGGAGGAGGAGAAGGGGAAGGGGAAAGAGGCGGAGGCGGGGAGGGAGAAAGAAGGCAAGGAGAAGGAGGAGAAGGGGAGGGGTGGTGAGGCGGAAGACGAGATGGACGCGGAGCAGAGGAGACTGGCGGACGAGATGGAGAGGCGGCGGAGGCGAGTGCAGGAGTGGCAGGAGTCACGCAGGCAGAAGGCGGAAGAGGAGAGGCGCAGGGAGGAGGAGGCGCGGGCAGCCGCGGGAGGCGGGGAGGGGGGAAGCGGGGCTGGGGGGAGCAGCGTGGCGCAGGCGAATGGGGGAGGGAAGGGGCGCGGGTGGACCTTGGATGGGGAGTCGGATGACGAGGAGGAGAAGGGGGAGGGGGGCGGGAAGGGCAAGGAGGGTGAGAAGGGTGAGGAGGATGCGGATATGGAGGGGGGGGAGAGAAAGGGGCTGAAGGGGAAGGGGAAGGAGAAAGTGGAGGAAGGGGGGGAAGGGGAGGAGGGGGAGGAGGGGCGGAAGATGGAGCTGGACGAGGGAGAGGAGGGAGAGGAAGGAGAGAAGGAGAAAGCAGATGTGAAAGGGAAGGGCAAGGTTGAGGAGGCGGAGGAGGAGGAGGTGGACCCTCTAGACGCCTTCATGAACTCGCTGGTCCTCCCACAGGTCGCCAAGCTACACGCCAAGGATGCCGCCCAGCCAGCCGCCCCAGCCGGAAGCGCACGGCAAGCAGCGGATGGCAGCAGTTCGTCCAAGGCTGTCAAGGGCGGCGATGAGCTGACGGGTGGGAGGGCTGGAGGGGGGGAAGAGGGGGGAAAGGCAGGGGCGGGAGGAGCGGGGGCGGGAGGAGCGGGGGGTGAGGGTGGCGGCAAGGGGAAGAAGGCGAAAGCAGAGGGGAAGAAGAAGGGGAAGGGGCTGAAAGGACCCATGGTGTTCGGAGTTGACTCGGAGTCAGAGGACGAGGGAGGGCCAGACGAAGAGGGGGAGGGGGAGGACGAGGAAGGGGGCGAGGGCAAGAAGGGTGAGGAGGAGGACGCGGACTTCGTGAAACGAGTAACCGCCGTGGCGCAGACAAAAGCAGAGAAACTCGCCCCGGTGGACCACTCGCAGGTGAAGTACGAGCCGTTCAGGAAGAACTTCTACAAGGAGGTGAAGGACGTGGCAAAGATGACAGCTGATGAGGTGGCGCTGTACCGCCGCGAGCACGAGTTTAAACTGCGGGGGAAGGACGTGCCAAAGCCGGTGCTGACGTGGGTGCAGAGCGGGCTGAGCAACAAGGTGCTGGAGGTGTTGCGCAAGCTAGGGTTTGAGAAGCCCATGGCCATCCAGGCGCAGGCGCTGCCCATTATCATGAGCGGCCGCGACTGCATTGGCATCGCCAAGACGGGGTCCGGCAAGACGCTGGCGTTCGTGCTGCCCATGCTGCGGCACATCATGGACCAGGTGCGCGTTGGGGGGGTGGATAGCAGGACGCATCATGGCCCGGGGGGGGGGGACATGGGGCAGGCAGCTTTGTGGACCAGGTTGGGGGGGATTGGTTCCATGATATATCGTGGACTAGTTGGGGTTGTTAAGAGGAGTAAGGGGGGGGAAGGAGCACTTTTTTTAACCAGGAGCGGGGGGAGAAGGGGGTTTGCATCATGGACCAGGTATGGTTGTTAAAGGAGGGGGAGAGGCTGGTTGCCATGACATGCCGTGGACCAGGTAGGGTGTTAGGAAAGAGGAGGATCGAGGGGGGGGGTAGGAGTGGGGGGGAATGCCACGACACATCATGGACCAGGCAGGTGGGTTGTTGTTGTGCCCCCTGCATGTACGAATCTTGGGTTGGGCCGTTGCCCTCGTCCTTTTCCAGCCACTGTTGCTGCGCAGAGTCACTACATGCCAACCAGCGGCAGACCCCAGCATGCCACGCATGTCAAGGGCCCCAGTTTTCTAACCCCCTCCCCCCTCCTCCGTCCTGGCTGGACCAACCCTGAACCAGCCCCTCCTCCCCCCGCCCCTTCTTGCCCTCCAATCCCCCCCTGCTCGTGCAGCCGCCCATCCCTGCAATCAGGCGACGGGCCCTCCGGCCTCATCCTAGCCCCAGCTCGGGAGCTCGTCCAGCAGATGTTCACTGACCCCCTCCGCCCCACCCCCCAGACCCCTCTCGTTCCCACCAGCCTGCTCTGCAATGCTTGGACAGGCCCGTCAGCCCCATTTTGGAATCGCGAGCACCGCCACTGCGACCTACCATCTCCACCGCCATCTAAACTGGCGCGAGTGCGCGCCAGTGTACCGCGGACCATCTGCGGTGCCTGGTCCGCGATACACTGGCGCGCCAGTGATGCCAGTGGCACAGACAGCAGATCAGCAGGCCAAACCCTGCCTTGACCATCCCCTCCTGTCCTCTTGATTCCGCCCGCCCTTCCCCCCACACCCTTGCCCTTTCCCCACACGGATCAGAGGTGGTGGTGTGCACGATCTCAATCCCCTTCCCAACCATCCCCCACCCCCTCCCCCCACCAACCTCCTGTTTCGCAGCCCCCTCTGCAATCAGGGGATGGCCCCATTGGGCTGATCCTAGCCCCGACCCGCGAGCTCGTGCAGCAGATCTTCACCGACATCCGCCGCTTCGCGCGGCCCCTCGGTCTTTCCTGCGTGCCCGTGTACGGCGGGTCCGGCGTGGCGCAGCAGATCAGCGAGCTGAAGCGCGGGGCGGAGGTGGTGGTGTGCACGCCGGGGCGCATGATCGACATCCTGGCGACGAGCAACGGGCGCATCACGAACCTCAAGAGGGTGACGTACCTCGTGCTGGACGAGGCGGACCGCATGTTCGACATGGGCTTCGAGCCGCAGATCGGGCGCATCATTGGGAACACACGGCCGGACAGGCAGACGGTTTTATTCTCTGCGACGTTCCCCCGGCAGGTGGAGACGCTGGCGCGCAAGGTGCTGACGAAGCCGATTGAGATCCAGGTGAGGGAGGCCACTTGGATTCTTGGGGGGGGAAAGAGGCGGGGGGAAAATGGGTTTGTTGCATGGCAGGTGAAGAGCCTGACAAGGAAGGTGGTGTGGGTGATGGGGCTGCTGAGCAAGTTCAGCTTACTAACATCTGGGTGAGTGGGAAGGTGCAGTGCAGACTCGCGCTTGAGGCTGCAGAGCAGAGGACTGGGGGAACCTGAGAATCGGGGGGCAAACGAGGAGGAGGTTCGCTTCCCTCTGCAGCATCGTCATCCGCAGTTTGCTATTCAGGTCATTGGTCCACTCATCACGTGTATCGCAGCAGTCATTCCAACAAATCACGAACCTGATGGTCCTGGTGGGCCGCATGGGCCTCCTGGGCCTGTCCAAACCTGATGGGCCTGTCCAAACCTGATGGGCCTGTCCAAACCTGATGGGCCTGTCCAAACCTGATGGGCCTGTCCAAACCTGATGGGCCTGTCCAAACCTGCTGGGCCTGTCCAAACCTGATGGGCCTGTCCAAACCTGCTGGGCCTGTCTATCTACTCAAGCGGTCCTTTGTATGCATAGAAACCTGGGCACATGCTCGGTGATAAAAGGTGAGTGCATTCATGCATACATGCATACATGCATTCATGCATACATGCATTCATGCATTCATGCATACATGCATACATGCATACATGCATACATGCATACATGCATACATGCATTCATGCATTCATGCATACATGCATTCATGCATTCATGCATACATGCATTCATGCATTCATGCATACATGCATTCATGCATACATGCATTCATGCATTCATGCATACATGCATACATGCATTCATGCGTACATGCATTCATGCATACATGCATTCATGCATACATGCATACACGCGTTCATGAATACATGCATACATGCGTTCATGCATACATGCATTCATGCATACATGCATACATGCATTCATGCATACATGCATACATGCATTCATGCATACATGCATTCATGCATTCATGCATACATGCATTCATGCATTCATGCATTCATGCTTTCATGCTTTCATGCATTCATGCATTCATGCATTCATGCATTCATGCGTTCATGCATTCATGCATTCATGCTTTCATGCTTTCATGCATTCATGCATTCATGCATTCATGCATACATGCTTTCATGCATTCATGCATACATGCATACATGCATTCATGCATACATGCATTCATGCATACATGCATTCATGCATACATGCATTCATGCATACATGCATTCATGCATACATGCATTCATGCATACATGCATTCATGCATACATGCATTCATGCATACATGCATTCATGCATACATGCATTCATGCATACATGCATTCATGCATACATGCATTCATGCATACATGCATTCATGCATACATGCATTCATGCATTCATGCTTTCATGCTTTCATGCATTCATGCATTCATGCATACATGCATTCATGCATACATGCATTCATGCATACATGCATTCATGCATTCATGCGTTCATCCATTCATGCGTTCATGCATTCATGCGTTCATGCATTCATGCATTCATGCTTTCATGCTTTCATGCATTCATGCATTCATGCATTCATGCATACAGGCTTTCATGCATTCATGCATACATGCTTTCATGCATTCATGCATACATGCATTCATGCATACATGCATTCATGCATTCATGCATTCATGCATTCATGCATTCATGCATTCATGCATTCATGCGTTCATGCATTCATGCATTCATGCTTTCATGCTTTCATGCATTCATGCATTCATGCATTCATGCATTCATGCATACATGCATACATGCATACATGCATACATGCATTCATGCATTCATGCATTCATGCATACATGCATACATGCATTCATGCATACATGCATTCATGCATTCATGCATACATGCATTCATGCATTCATGCATTCATGCTTTCATGCTTTCATGCATTCATGCATTCATGCATTCATGCATTCATGCGTTCATGCATTCATGCATTCATGCTTTCATGCTTTCATGCATTCATGCATTCATGCATTCATGCATACATGCTTTCATGCATTCATGCATACATGCATTCATGCATACATGCATTCATGCATACATGCATTCATGCATACATGCTTTCATGCATTCATGCATTCATGCATACATGCATTCATGCATACATGCATTCATGCATACATGCATTCATGCATTCATGCGTTCATCCATTCATGCGTTCATGCATTCATGCGTTCATGCATTCATGCATTCATGCTTTCATGCTTTCATGCATTCATGCATTCATGCATTCATGCATACAGGCTTTCATGCATTCATGCATACATGCTTTCATGCATTCATGCATACATGCATTCATGCATACATGCATTCATGCATACATGCATTCATGCATTCATGCATTCATGCATTCATGCATTCATGCGTTCATGCATTCATGCATTCATGCTTTCATGCTTTCATGCATTCATGCATTCATGCATTCATGCATTCATGCATACATGCATACATGCATACATGCATACATGCATTCATGCATTCATGCATTCATGCATACATGCATACATGCATTCATGCATACATGCATTCATGCATTCATGCATACATGCATTCATGCATTCATGCATTCATGCATACATGCTTTCATGCATTCATGCATACATGCATTCATGCATACATGCATTCATGCATACATGCATTCATGCTTTCATGCTTTCATGCATTCATGCATTCATGCATACATGCATTCATGCATACATGCATTCATGCATACATGCATTCATGCATTCATGCGTTCATCCATTCATGCGTTCATGCATTCATGCATTCATGCTTTCATGCTTTCATGCATTCATGCATTCATGCATTCATGCATACAGGCTTTCATGCATTCATGCATACATGCTTTCATGCATTCATGCATACATGCATTCATGCATACATGCATTCATGCATTCATGCATTCATGCATTCATGCATTCATGCATTCATGCGTTCATGCATTCATGCATTCATGCTTTCATGCTTTCATGCATTCATGCATTCATGCATTCATGCATTCATGCATACATGCATACATGCATACATGCATACATGCATTCATGCATTCATGCATTCATGCATACATGCATTCATGCATACATGCATTCATGCATACATGCATTCATGCATACATGCATTCATGCATACATGCATTCATGCATTCATGCATACATGCATTCATGCATTCATGCATACATGCATTCATGCATTCATGCTTTCATGCTTTCATGCATTCATGCATTCATGCATACATGCTTTCATGCATTCATGCATACATGCTTTCATGCATTCATGCATTCATGCATACATGCTTTCATGCATACATGCATTCATGCATTCATGCATACATGCATACATGCATTCATGCATTCATGCATTCATGCATTCATGCATTCATGCATTCATGCGTTCATGCATTCATGCATTCATGCTTTCATGCATTCATGCATTCATGCATTCATGCATTCATGCATACATGCTTTCATGCATTCATGCATACATGCTTTCATGCATTCATGCATTCATGCATACATGCTTTCATGCATTCATGCATACCATCCCTGTGCTGGCCCGCCAACCTAAGGGAGCTCTACTGGTGGCTCCAGAATCGCGAAGCAGTCCCCCAGGGACGCACCTTCGCCAGGGGCACCCAGGGGTGGCTGGGAACGCCTCGTTTACCTTCCAGAGTCTACCTACTCTCTCTCTCCCTTCCCCGTCTACTCTCTCCTTCCTTTCTTCCTTTCCGCACCCACTCAATGGTGGGTGCGCGCAGTGTGGTCAACGGCGACATCACCCAAACCGTAGAGCTCCACCCCGAGGGGCAGGGGCACTTCCTGCGCCTGCTGGAGCTGCTGGGCGAGTGGTGCGAGAAGCGCACAACCCTCACCTTCTCATCTCCTTCCTGTACCCATCCCTCCAATGCTGCTCCCAGGTTGGTGGGCGCAGTGTGGTCAACAGCGACATCACTCAAACCGTCGAAGTCCGCCCCGAGGGCCAGGAGCGCTTCCTGCGCCTGCTGGAGCTGCTGGGCGAGTGGTGCGAGAAGGGCAAGACGCTCATCTTCGTGCACTCGCAGGACAAGTGCGATGCGCTCTTCCGCGACCTGCTCAAGTCCGGCTACCCATGCCTCTCGCTGCACGGCGCCAAGGACCAGACGGACCGGGAGTCCACCTTGCAGGACTTCAAAACCAATGTGTGCAACCTCCTGGTGGCGACGAGTGTGGCGGCGCGCGGGCTCGATGTTAAGGAGCTCGAGCTGGTGATTAACTACGACGTGCCGAACCACTATGAGGACTACGTGCATCGGGTGGGGAGGACCGGGAGGGCTGGGAAGAAGGGGCATGCGGTGACGTTCATCAGTCCGGACGAGGATCGGTTTGCACCAGACCTGGTGCGAGCCTTGGAGCTGTCGAAGCAGCCGATTCCGGAGGACCTGAAGGCGATGGCGGAGGGGTTCACCGCCAAGGTGAAGGCGGGGAGCGTGGTGGCGCACGGCAGCGGGTACGGGGGGAGCGGGTTCAAGTTCAACGAGGAGGAGGAGGAGGCCAAGAAGGCGCTGAAGAAGGCGCGGGCGCTGGAGTATGGGGTCGTGGTGGATGAGGAGGAGGGCGGCGAGGAGGAGGAGGAGAAGGAGGAAAAGGAAGGGAGTGGCGCGATTCGGAGAGTGGAGGCACCGTCGGCAGGCGGGGCGGCAGCATCGGCGGCTCAGAGTATTGCTGCTGCTGTGGCTGCCGCTGCTGCTGCCGCAGCAGCAAACAAAACAGGGGTTCCTGCTCCTCTCGCAGCAGCAGCAGCAGCCAACCCCATCCAGGCAGCGGTGCAGGCCCGCATGGCCCAGATGGGAATCACCCCTGCTGCCGGCGCCACTGCCACTCCGCCTCTCCCTGCCACCACCCCTCTTGCCGCCTCTCTCATAGGAGCAGCAGCAGCAGGCGAGTCTGCTTCCACAGCCATAGCCACAGCAGCAGCCGCTGCACCCACCCCTGTCTCCCGCGCTGCTGCCTTCGCTGCTGCCATCAGCCTGCAGCACAACCTGGCCAAGCTGCAGCCAGCCGAGCCAGTGAAGGCGCACTACGAAGCCGAGTTTGAGATCAACGAGTTCCCGCAGCACGCGCGGTGGAAGATCACCCATAAGGAGACGCTCAACCAGATCATCGACTGGACGGGCGCCGCAGTCACCACCAGAGGGCTGTACTGCCCGCCGGGCAAGGCGCTGGCGGCGGGGGAGAAGAAGCTGTATTTGTCCATTGAGGGGCCGACGGAGGCAAGTGTGAAGAAGGCCAAGGTGGAGATCAAGAGGATCATCGAGGAGGCAAGTGCGGTGGAGGCGTCGCACCAGCGGCCCGTGCAGCCAGGGAGATACTCCGTCATGTGAGGAAGGAAGGTCGCTGGGGAGATACACTGTGCCTTGGGGAGTGCTGCTGCTGCTGCCAGGGAGATACACTGTGATGTGATGGTTGCCAAGTGCGCAGTCGGGAAAAGTGAGGGCACGGTTAGAAGGGTGGTGGAGGTGGTCTGTACTGCCAGCCTGGCAAGTCCCTTCCAGCCCGCAGGGCAAGGTGCTGCCTGCTGGGGAGAAGATGTGTTTGTCGATTGAGAGGCCAGCGGAGGCGAGTGTGAAGAAGGTCAAGGTGGAGATGAAGAGCCTCATCGTGGAGGCCAGTGCCGTGGAGGCCAGTGCCGTGGAGGCTTCGCACCAGCGGCCTTCTTTGGAGTGGTTGTTTTTACTCAGGGGGGATGGGGACTGGCTGAGGAAGGAGGGAGGGGGGGGAAGAGGGGTGGAGGGGGGTAGGGGGGTTGGATTGTACTGCCAGCCTGCCTGGGGGGATGGCTGTGATTGCGAGGGTTGTTAAGGTTGGGTAAGTGTGGCACTGAGGTTGGTAGCTGATGAGGGGAAGCTGATGTCTCACTTATGTTGTGACTACATGTTCACTGCTCACTGCTGTGCAGTACTCGTGGGCAGGGCTGACGTTTAAAAAAAAACCCACTCTGATTTTGGCCCCAAAAAAAATTTCCAAGTCTGAGTAGCCAGGTTTCTGATTTCAGGTAGTCTGATTTTGCAGGATCCAGTGAGACTCAAGTCTGATATTCTCAGGGCTCGCAGGCATCAATCAGAGTCTAACGCACATCACCACCATTTACTTGCCAACTTTACATAACATTTTGGCCATTAACCAACACCTACACCAAGTTCCTAGCCTATCTAGAACTCTGGCACATCCAGAGAGACTACATCCTCCGCCTCATCATCCGACAAGAAAGGGGTTGTCTTCTATGGCTGCTGCACCTCCACCATCCCTCTCCCCCTCCTCATCCCAATCCTCTCCTATGTAGTCTGGCACTGGAGGTTCGTGCTCAGCCTCTTCTTGCGCTTCCTCTCTTGTGATGCGAACACCACCGATTTTGCTGGTCTTCTCTTCTTCGCGTGCCACAGCTCCAGCGCTTCCTGTCAGTCGATCTCGTATTTCAGCAGCGAAATCATCATCAGCTCACACAGGTGGGCATTGCAGAGTGCAACGCGGACCCAAGACTTGATCACATTCTGCCTGGAAAAACCACGCTCGCACTCCACAGTTGAGAATGGTAACACCGCGCATGCTTGCCAGAGAAGCATGAGGTTGGGCTAGCGCCTGTTTATGGAACAACCACACACAAGAGGCGTGGAACAATAGAATTAGGAAAAAACTGGAGGCATGGTGGGCAAGGAACAATAGAATTAGAAACAAACTGGAGGCATGGTGGACAAAACTGGCAAAAACAAACATACACAGGCGGACAGAGCAGCGTGCACTGGAGGCTTGACTTACCTGCTTGACTCCGTGTTGCCAAGGTAGTTCGTGAGGCCCTGGTAGAAGCCCTCCTCGTTGTGGTGGTTCTGCATGATCGGGGCCCAAGTTGCCAGCTCCTTCTCCGCCGCCTTCAAATCGAACCCGGGGAGCCTGTCGTCGAAGATAGCACTGCAGCCATTGAGATACTCCCTCGTCTTCTTCTCCCTCACCATCCGAAGCCGCAGCCACTTGCCCGCCCGAAACAGCTTTGTCGGCCCGAGCTTCGACAGGTCGTCCAGCCGCTCCAGCTGGTTCGTCATTCTCCCCCTCGCGAACTTCGCGCACAATAGCTCGCAGTCCCAGTAGTTGCTCTGGTAGACATGCCCCTTGATCTGCCGCTCGTGCATCTGGTACGTGTGTGTCACCGGCTGCCCGTCCTTGTCGACGCCGAGCACCTTCACTCTCTTCGCCCCCCCACGCCCGTACACGGTTAAGAAAGCCGACAGCCACGTGCCGCTTACGCCCGCACCGAAAACCCCGCCGCACTCCAAGTAGCGGTGCCGAACATCCCCCACCGCCTCGTCGACGTCCTTGGTTATCTCGGTGACATCCACCTGCGGCCGGGGGAGGGGGGGGTGGGTGGTGGAGGGAACATGGGGGCGCAAGTCAAGGCACAGAATGTTAGTGCTGATTGTGAAATAACATAGCACTACCACACATGCAAGGGCTCACCTCTCACTTCTGAAACTTGAGGCTGAGCTCGTTCATGATGGCGAGGACGTCCGCCAGGAAGAAGAGGCAAAACTGAAACTTGTATGAGATGACAACCTCATACAGCTCATGCTTATACTCGAACAGTAAAACGATGGCAGCACCGAGGACCTTACAGGGGCGTTTGACTGCCTCACCCCTAGACAACCACCAAATCGCATGGATTCCTTGAACTTCAAGGTTGGTCTTGTGGATGACACGCTGTAGGAGATCGGCCAGCGTTCGGATAACCTTGTCGACCATGTCCAAGTCTGGACAGGCAGACGCGGCGTCCTTCACAGCCAGAGCTTCCCTGCGCACAGTCCATAGAAACAAATTCGTAAACAATAGAAAACAAAGCAAGAACATTGCAAAATGACTCTATACCGGTGGGCGATGCAGTGGGACGACACAAGGTGAGGGATGTGCTCGTGGAGCCGCGCCACGAGACCGTTCTCGCGCCCCACCATGACGGAAGGGCCATCGGTGCTGATTCCCGCGATGCGTTTGAGCTCGATGCCGGCACCTTGAAGATGAATGAGGAGCACGGAGAGCAGGGAGGCGGCATCGCACTTCTCAACTGTCAGCAATGAGAAGAATTCGGCGACGACGCGTCGATGGCGCAGGAACTTGAGGTACACTATCAAGTGTTTCCCTTTGGCTTTTCTGGATAATGAACCCTTCAGAGTTGTATGATTTTGGATCCTGAAGTTTTCAAAGTAGACGTTGTGCGGATACTGAATGCGGCATACATGCACGTTGAACTTTCCAAGAAGCTCCTGAATTTCTATCGGGGTTGTTCTCGCATCTAACTTGTTTGCAGGGTCAGCGTCGTCGGCATACCATTATTCCTTGATTTTCAGACTAAGCTTATGCAATGGTCTCTCAACACTGGTTCCATGGAAATCGAACAACTCAGAACTGCCAACAAACATATATTTTGTATTCACACACATATCTAGTTAGTTTAGATATGTTTGTTATAGCCTAGCTAGGTCAGTTCTTAGAGGGGACAATATTTTGTACTTGTATCTCACCTCCCTCTTTCTAGTCACACTTTTTACCGCTACCCTAGCATGGTTTATAGCTAGGTTTGATTTTTTTCCGCTGTTACTGTAGACTCTCTTTTTCGCGCATGTCTCCCTCTCTAATTGCGCGCCCTGTAGTCTCGAAATCCCCCCCCCCCCCCCCCCCCTCCCCCCCACTAGCGTTCCCCTCGTTTCGTACGCCAGCGAACTGGCAAGCGAGCCACTTGTCGAATGACCCGCTGGGGTTACCCTTGAGAAGATCCTTGGGGAAGGCCCACAGGTGCAGAGCCTAGGGGGCTATGGGCGCACTCACCCGCTATTAACAAACCCTTTTAACTCAGTGGTTAGTGGCTGATTTTCTAACATGCTATCAAAGCGTGGGTGACTCGGGTTCAATTCCCAGTGCTAGCGCTGCCGAGGCGCTCGTGTCTTCCACCTATCCCAGCGAAGGGGGGGTGTCGAGTGACCCGCTGGGGTTACCCTTGAGAAGATCCTCGGGGAAGGGCCACAGGTGCAGAGCCTGGGGGGCTATGGGCGCTCTGACCCACTATTAACAAGCCCTTTTAACTCAGTGGTTAGTGGCTGAGTTTCTAACACCACCTAGCCAACTCGCTCGCAAACCAGCTAGCCAGCCACCTAGCTTCCTAGCTCGCCCACGCCATTTCCGCCAGCCTGCAGTCATGCCCTTAGCCTACCGTTTTGCGCCTGCTGGCTGCTGCCGGCCTCTGCTCTCCCCTCGCGTGTCTCGCCAGCCAGCTAGCTGCCCGCTCGCCAGCACCCCAGCCAATGCGCCAGCCAGCTAGCCAACACGTGAACCAGCTAGCTAGCCAGCAGCGTTAGCCAGCTCGCCGCCAACAGTGCTTGCTAGCTCACCGCACTAGCGCTAGCCAGCTAGACCCCAGCGGCGTCCGCCAGCTCCGCCAGCCGCTGCTGCCAGCTAGTCGCCAGACAGCCGCCGCCACTGCTGCCGCCACTGCCACTGCAGCCACTGCTGCTGCCGCTACCGCCGCTGCTGCTGCCGCTACCGCCGCTGCTGCTGCCGCTACCGCTGCTGCTGCTGCTGCCTGTGCCACTGCCGCTGCCGCATGCTACAACTGTTTCTGCAGCCAGTGCCACTGCCGCAACCATTGCAGCCACTGTCGCTGACGCAGCCGCTGCTGCCACTGCAGCCACTGCCGCTGCCGCCACCACCGCTGCAGCAGCATGTGCTGCCGCCGCTGCCACTGCTACTGCCACCGCTTGCGCTGTCGCCGCTTGCGCTGCGGCCGCTGCCACTGCCGCAGAGTCATCTGAAAATATTTGTGGAAATCTGCGAATCAACTGCGTGAGGTCCGCTGGCACTGCCATTGTCAGATTCTCTAAATCGGATGGCTGCGATGCCACGTCGATTTCCAGAACGACTACAGCGAAGACTTCAGCTCCTCGTGCGGCAGCTCTATTTATCACCACGGAGTTCACCTGCATCACTCCCCATGTGATCCCCTTCATCCATTCTGATAACACTACACTACGGCCGTTGAGTTTACGAAACAACTGCCATTCGTCCAATCTATCTAGGGGTTGAAGCGTCCCCGCCAATCCCGTCCCAGCAGAATGCCAAAGCTGTCAAGTATAGTTGCGAGCATCCCTGTTGAAATTTTAAAGTCAGCTACACCTTACCCTAATTATTCCCCCCCGGTCTTTTATTGCTAGTGGGGTCTCGTCGACTAGTCGGGCGACGATCTCCGGTAGGCACCTATCTAAGGTTGACTTCACTTTGTTGGCTGTGGCTGGGTTGATGAGGCTGTAACTGGCACATCCGTCCACGAAGATTTTTTATTTTTTTTTCCCCTGAACTCTACCCTCTAAATAATTGGGGTAATCCACCGCTGCACCCTCCTTATTTAGCCAGGTTCGGTCGATTGCGTGAATCGGTACTTGAACTCGATGAGGGTCATCGGTTAAGCGAGCAGGTTCCATCAGTAGTAGGCCCGTTAGCTACTGATACTAAGCGTTTCCCTGATCGCTGGAACTCCCTTGCCCCTGATTCCGCTTCTTCCGCTCCTCTGGGAATTCCGACTTGCGTTGTCCCGGCCTGTTACACCTGAAACAGCGACCCTTGAAGGCTGTAACTGCTGAGCTCGAAGTTGTAACAGAGTGTACAGTGGCACACTCGATTGGTCCCCGAGTGCGATTTCCGTCGTAGGAACCCGCCCTTGGTTTGTAGAACGAATCCAATTGCTCTGCAACCCTCTACGTCTCCATTAAGTCTGTAATTGCTCGCACTTGTAATTTGCGGCCCAGATCCAGTCGAAGTCCCCCGATGTACTGTATCTGTCAAACTTTTCTTCATGGTGAATATAGCCGACCTGATCGCATAGGTTCGTGAAGCTGCTGGTGTAGTCCTGGACCGATCCGAGTTGGCGCCACATGCGAAGGTGGTCACGCGCTTGACTGTTTGCATTGACATGTTCAAAGCAGCAACGAATTCCCGCGCACCACGATTGCAACGTGCTGCACTCGTGCACCTCTCAAAAGCTTCCTGCCTAGTGATTGTTTGTGCAAAAACGATCACGCGCGGCATTGTATCCGGCTCCTGCGA